TCTTCGTTTTTCCATTAGGATCAGTGAATAAACAAAAACTCTGGATTTTACACAAATGATGATAACTGTATTTCAGTAAAACATTGTATAAATCCAAAAGTGTGTTTTATTTTATTTTAAAGCAAAACCACGGTGACAAATAAGACAATGATAGGCTACCAAATAGCATACAAGCCCTGGCCATTGGGGTTTGTGAGTAGGCTACAAAAGGAATAAAAACCGTGCACTGCTGAAATGTGGAAAAATATATATATATTTATTTACTAAAACAGATTTATTATGTCGATCTAGGCTATAGCAAATATTATTATTTATGTGCTCAAGAGCGTATTTAAGCAATATGCCTACATGTTCATATCACTTCTCTGCTGGGTATTTTATTTATTTTATTATAGGCCTTATAATTGCACAGATTTACAGCAGTGTTTTTTTATGGTTATGCAGCTAGCCTATATGTGAGTGTTAATATTTAAAACCATTTTTATCCCGTAGCCTATACTACGCAGATTAAAACATGGACACGTAATGCGGGGGTGGATAAATAAATTATAGGATTTTTATAATGTCGCAGTCACAGATAGTTGTAGCTAGCCTACATGTTAACCAGTTGACACTTATTAGAAAACATGAATCTTTTAAAACTATAACATAGGGCTTTACAGAACCATATATAGGCCCTCATTTTATTAACAGGTAAACAACAATGAAACATGAGTTTGCCATTAAACATTTTATTTTGCACTTTGTAGCCTACCAAATAATGCACGCATTGGACAACATCTCGTTAAAAAATGAAACAAAAACGGTCGTGCTTTAAAAATTAAAATCAGCTGCTATTAGGCTACATTCTTACAGTGAATTATCATCCTTTGCGTAAAATCCCGAGTTTGTGCTGATCCACCGATCCTGATAGAAGTATAAAGAAGCCAAGTGAATGACGCGCTATAATGTAAAACATCTCACTGAAGTAGGCCTACAGGTGCTGTGTCACCAAGCGTTCGTTTTTAAACAATAACTTAATCTATTCTGTGTCTTAAGTACAATAAAACAGCAATAGATCTTAACTAAAATTACCATGGTAAACCGAAAAGATAGCCATACGATTAAAGTATTTAATAGTACTTTAATACGGCCAAATCATTCATAAAATCGTACTTAAAGGAATGCGCATGCTCAGACCTGAATCGTCTACACCAATAAGATTGCGGTATTATAAACCAATAAAATTGGGGGTGGGCGGAGCGACACGTGTCGCCCTGCCCAAAAGTGTCGCCCCGCCCCATCGTCCAGACTGCACTCTGGGGTACTACGTTCCAGGCGGGGTAGACGAGCGCTGAGCCCCGGTGATAGCATCTTACAACTCCGAAAACGTCAGATCAAATTTTTAAATAGGCGCTATCTTTATAAACAAACCACATATTTGAGCTTTAAACAACTACATTGTCGACTGAAAAACTATTTAAACTACATTTCGTGACACAATAACAGTAGTATTTTTAAATGTATCCTCTGAACGTTACTATTACTAATTAAATCATGACCAAATACAACCAAAAACAAACGTTCAGTCTTGCTTGTGAAAGGTAATTCCTCGAAAGCTGTTTTCAATTGTGTGGCGATGTGTACAGCCCCAGACAGCGCACAAAACATGCATTTTTCTCAATTCCCGGTATGAGAGGTATGGGAAAGTTGCCATCCCCAACATGGCGGCGCCGTTGACGTACGCTCCAGCCATAGACAGCGGCCAATAGGGCGTCTATGTATTTATTATGTCTATGATTAGAACGGTCAGTGCATCACGTGATCAACTGCTAAATTCAAACGTGCTTTCGAGCGTTGGCTGTCGCTGAGCCAGAGACGGACGCACTCAGTGCTGTCATATCACAACTATTGAGTGTTTTCAACCACATAATGTTTATTTTAGGTTTCAGACATTTAAATACACATAAGTACAAGCAAAACAATGATTTTGAGTTTGTAAAATACACACTGATGTCTATGGAAGCGGCAATAATAATCCTTTCCATTATAATAAGACGACACATTTTAGTCAGATACACATTGTGAAAGTAGCTTTACATTTGACCCTATTCTTCTCCCAGTTCACCGGCCACTTACTTTCATGTATTTCGTGAGAAGTAAAGGAATTGACGTGTTGTAATCCAACAGATCCGATTCTCTGAACTGTAAAACAAACTAAAATGGCGCCGCCCATTGTGCATACAGCTCAACTAACGCGATCGTTATAAAGATGTTTAAACAACAAAACCCATCCACTTGTACATATTTGACAATCGGAATATCAGTGTTTCATGCTATAGCTAATACATTTGTGAATATTTTTAATAAAAAAGGAAAAATGACATAAAAGCAGATCATCATCACTCATTCAGCGCTGTGTTGTGGTTGCGCTGTGTCACGTGACAAGCAATGACGCGTCACCATGGAAACATTAAAGTGACAAGTTCTAAATAACGAAAAACTCACGCTGGGGGGTCAGTTAGAATATTTTAAACATACGTGTGAAAGGGGTAATTGTAATCTGCACAATGACAACAAAGTTGACACTAATGTAAATCTAATCTCATCTAAACTAAACCTGCTACCTGTACACTGATACCCAAATACATGTCACCTAATATCACCATTATAAATAGTTTTGCAACCATGCAGTTCAATTTTCCATATCAGTCACCAGTATCAGTATTTACTTTCTACCATGCACAAATAAAAATGTCACTGAACTTTTGCTGTGTAATTGTAACAATGAGCACTCAACAATTGTTGAGCAAACCAACAATTACTAAAAACACACACAAAAACTGATTTTGAACAGTTGGATATCTGTTATTCGCATATCTCTTGAACTGTTAGTCCGATGGATTTCAAACTTGACAGGTGTCTTGCTACAGCCACGAGTAAGTGCAGTGCCGAGTTTGAAGTTGTTAGGATTAGAAATGCAAAAGATATTGGTAAATATATTGGTAAAAGTAGCACACATTGGCTTTTGCCGCTCTAGCCGCTGGCCACTCTGGCTCACACTGCACACTGAGTGGCCACTCCCACTCTCACACTGCACACTGAGTGGCCACTCCCCCTCTCACACTGCACACTGAGTGGCCACTCCTCCTGCACACTGAGTGGCCACTCCCCCTGTCACACTGCACACTGAGTGGCCACTCCTCCTCCACACTGCACACTGAGTGGCCACTCCTCCTCCACACTGCACACTGAGTGGCCACTCCCCCTCTCACACTGCACACTGAGTGGCCACTCCTCCTCCACACTGCACACTGAGTGGCCACTCCCCCTCTCACACTGCACACTGAGTGGCCACTCCTCCTCCACACTGCACACTAGAGGTCTTCACAGGTCCACTTGGATCCGAAAACCCGAGGTCCGACCCGAGACCCGAACGGGTTCGGGTCCAAAACTCCGACGAGTGTCTCGGACACGGGTCGGGTTCGGTATTAGTGGCCTCAGGTCTCGGGTAATTTAAAATAAATATGCCTTTTCCAAATGGACCCGAGAAGACCCGAATTCTTTTAAACTATGTTGGGCATTTAAGAAAATTGCAGTATTTAAAACAACTCTATGACACCGTTCTCTCACTTTTTCTAAGTGAGAGAGCGAATCCGCGCTTCTACGTGCAAATGGGCTATAAGCATAAGCACGGTTGCCTCTGCATTTATTTACTCAGTTGCTCGCTCCACATAAACCAACCCCTCCCTTTGCCAAGAAGAACTAGTGCGCCATCATGTGGATGGATGTTTGACTAAATGCAAGTATTTGAATTGTCGTTTAGCCAGGCCTGTCAATCAATTTTAAAAATACATGACACTGTCAGAAAACCATGGAGGCAATAACAGAAATTGCGAAAAATGTCAGGGAAAACGAATGGTGGTTCTAATCCTCGTATGGACCGGTAAATAACATTATGCCAAATTTTATAGGACGTAATGGGTTACAGTGATGTGTGATTGACATTTTAGCACTTCAGCGCGCTTACACTTGCGCGTCTATGTTAAGTGCATTTTTGAGAAACGCAGGGCTCCAGGCTGTGCACAATGTAAATGCCGTTTACGTTCGGGTCCAGTCGGGTTCTAAAGGAAATGCCGTCAGGTCGGGTCGGACTCGGGTCTAATTTTATCGGGTCTGTCTCGGGTCGGGTTTTTCTTTAAAAAAAAAAATTTATGCACGTCGGGTTCGGGTAAGTAGTGATTCGGGTCGATTCGGGTCGGGTACAGTTTTTAGGACCCGAGAAGACCTCTACTGCACACTGAGTGGCCACTCCCCCTGTCACACTGCACACTGAGTGGCCACTCCTCCTCCACACTGCACACTGAGTGGCCACTCCTCCTCCACACTGCACACTGAGTGGCCACTCCCCCTCTCACACTGCACACTGAGTGGCCACTCCTCCTCCACACTGCACACTGAGTGGCCACTCCCCCTGTCACACTGCACACTGAGTGGCCACTCCTCCTCCACACTGCACACTGAGTGGCCACTCCTCCTCCACACTGCACACTGAGTGGCCACTCCCCCTCTCACACTGCACACTGAGTGGCCACTCCTCCTCCACACTGCACACTGAGTGGCCACTCCTCCTCCACACTGCACACTGAGTGGCCACTCCCCAAAATAAACATTCTGACATTAGAGGGTTGTGGTTTAAAAATATCTGAATATTATATTTTATTCACGGCCATCATTTGTAGTAGCCTATTTACAAACTGTTTGCTCAAGCGTAGCGTTTTCTCTGAGTTCACTGTGTAGCCTGCTCCCTGAATCCTGTATTTCAATTTTCCACATTTATTGTATGTCGTTATGTCAGTATCTGCTTTCTACCATGCACAAATAAAAATGTCACTGAACCTTTGCTGTGTAATTGTAACAATGAGCACTCAAACACACCAAACCAACAATTACTAAAAACACACACAAAAAATTATTTTGCACGGGCACTTTTCACTAGTGAATGTGTATTCTTTGGTAATGATCATTTGTTTTTTCTGCTGAAGACTTGAAGACTGAACCACCAAACAGCACACTGTACACCACAACATTGAAACCATCAGGTACCTTTTCATTCACTTCATTTAATGTGAACATTAGATTCACATTAAAGGCACATTCTACACACACACACACACACACACACACAAAATAAAATAAGATTTGCCCTTAAGCAACAGAGTAGCAAAAATACAAAATCCACTTTACTACATTGTACTGGAAAATGCTACATATACATATATCATACAGATCTTGTTTTCTTTCTTTTCCTTTCTCAGTAGAAACCCGCATTCCTGGCACAGCATTGATCGCAATATCTGTGTGCTCGGCACTTGCAATCCTCTTAATTGTAGCCGCTATTTTCATCTTTAAATGTAGAAAAAAGTGTCGCTGCACTTCAGGTTAGTGTTATTGTATTTTATTATTTCTCTCTTATATATTAATCATACGTCTACTCCAAATAAAAATGTTTTCAATGCATCACTTACTCATCCCTCATGTTATACTACCCTATATATCTTTCTTTCCTCTTTTCCATTATAATTAATGTCAATGTGAACTAGTGTGGTAAATGCTCCAAAATGACAAAACTTCATAAAAGTACTATGCAGAAACTTGGTTAATATGACTCATTCAAAAGCTATATTCATTTTATCTAATTAAATATAACACGTTTTATAAGAATTTTGTTATGATCGGAAAATTGGGTGTCTAAACTATAATCTGTCCCGTGACAAGAGGTCAGCAAAAATATACAGGATGCTCAGATTCATTGAAAATTGAGTGGGAAAACAACTTAACACAACCACATTGACGATACTGGACAAAGAACTGAACAAAACACTGGGGTTAAATACATGCGATCAAGGATAAAACGGAACAGGTGTGGGAACTAATTTACAACCAGGGAAACAAACTAGAGCAGTGTTTCTCAACCAGGGGGTCGCGACCCACTAGTGGGTCGTTGTTCGTTCCATAGGGGGTCGCGAGACTTTCTCTGTGTTAACCGGCACAGCCAATAAATGGGCTTCACAAAAGGCTCATTGCAACAGGCTACGTTTACATGCAACCAAATCCAAATAATCCGTTCCCTTATCGAGTCGGTCTCTCGACATTACGTATGGGGAAATCCATTTTCCTCGAATCATGAAGTCTGATAGAATAACTCTTTTGCTTGCAAATAGCCAATGGCGGTCCCGCCATCACCTGATTGGCTGACACTGCTCAATATAGGTGACAGCGGGCGCCAAAAACCTCAGAATCTTTTTTCTTCACTCGAGTCTGTTTTCACCGTTGATGTACGCATTCAGAGCGGAGTATATTAAGGAGTTTTAATTCCCCTCTCGCGTTCCGGTGGATTATATTATGTCTCTTTGTCGCCCGTGTGGTGGACCCATTGAATCCCCGGACGCACACAACTTGTGTGCTGTGCCTGGGTCGGGACCACGCAGAGGCGGCACTCGAGGGATCGGGATGTCCCGCCTGTGAGGAGCTTCCCATCAGATCCTTCGTGCAAGGCTGGCCGTTACACGTAGCGACGACCTTGTGTCTCCTGCCTCTCCCCAGTCTGCCGCCGTCGAGCCGCGGACCGGGAGACGGCAGAGATCTCCATTCGCGGGTTCTGTTGAGGCGCTGACGTCGGCCCAAGGTCCACGCCATCCTCACGTGGCAGAGCCCGTGAGTTACTCTTGAGGCCATTTACCGCCCTCTTGAGGAAGCACGGGAATTATCTCGTTCGGTTACGACGATGACGACGCCAATGGTCCGAGTCTCCGTCTGAAGGCGCCCTCGCCTCTTTGGATGCGGAGCTTATGGCCATTCTCACTGAGGCGGTGGCAGATATGGTGCTGGAGTGGACAGCGCCCAAGGAGCTGCCGTCGGAAAGGTGGCCTCGGCGCGGGCCGTAAAGCTGAAGCGAGAGGCAGTTCAGGAAGTCGCTAAAAAAAAAAAAAAAAAAAAAACAGCGCTCCTGATGTGCGTGTCAGGGAGGAAAGAGCGCGGGACGTGTTCGTCGGACCGGTGCGAAGAGGGCGTGTTCCCGCCCAGAGTTCGACGAGAATGTGTTGTTTCTGAAACCGCTGTGTTCTGTTTCAATAACTAGGTACATTACATGTCTCAGCAAAAGAGCTTCTCTCCCCAACATTATTACCCGCCTCGGGGAAACCCGAGGAGATGGCTATCTATGTCCCCGTGCATGATGCCGCGGACGAGCTATACCATTTCATATAGCAGTCAATGCTTTCCCGGTGGCTGGTGCCCAGCCCCCGCCGCAGCATTCATTGCCCTGTATGGCGATTCTGATTACTACACAGTGTGTATTCACAGTTGTTGCGCGATGCAACTGACGCTGTGTTACGTACACACCACACTGTTATGTGTAAGGATTTATGCCATTATATATTGCCCTGTGTCCTTCAGTGCAATGGCTATGCTGATTACTACAAGTACGTGTTCACAGTTGTTGCGCGATGCAACTGACGCTGTGTTACGTACACACCACACTGTTATGTGTAAGGATTTATGCCATTAAATATTGCCCTGTGTCCTTCAGTGCAATGGCTATTCTGATTACTGCAAGTACGTGTTCACAGTTGTTGTGCGATGCAACTGACGCTGTGTTACGTACTCACTACACACTGTTGTGTGTAATGATTTATGCCATATATTGCCCTGTGTCCTTCAGTGCAATGGCTATTCTGGTTACTACGCAGTACGTATTCACAGTTGTTGTGCGATGCAACTGACGCTGTGTTACGTACTCACTACACACTGTTGTGTGTAATGATTTATGCCATATATTGCCCTGTGTCCTTCAGTGCAATGGCTATTCTGGTTACTACGCAGTACGTATTCACAGTTGTTGCGCGATGCAACTGACACTGTGTTTATGTACACACTGCACACTATATGAATTTGCCGTTGTATATTGCCCTGTATCCTTCAGTGCAATGGCTATTCTAGTTACTACGCAGTACGTATTCACAGTTGTTGCGCGATGCAACTGACACTGTGTTTATGTACACACTGCACACTATATGAATTTGCCGTTGTATATTGCCCTGTATCCTTCAGTGGAATGGCTATTCTGATTACTACGCAGTACGTATTCACAGTTGTCGTGCGATGCAACTGACGCTGTACACACTGCACACTGATATGTGTAATGATTTATGCCTTATATATTGCCCTGTGTCATTCAGTGCAAATGGCTATTCTGATTACTACGTATTCACAGTTCGTGCGCGATGCATCTGACGCTGTGTTACGTACACACCGCACTCTGTTATGTGTAATGTTTTATGCCATTATACTGTATATTGCCCTGTGTCATTCAGTGCAAATGGCTATCCTGATTACTACGCAGTGCGTATTCATAGTTGTCGTGCGATGCAACTAACGCTGTGTTTGTGCACACTACACACTGATATGTGTTATGATTTATGCCTTATATATTGCCCTGTGTCATTCAGTGCAAATGGCTATTCTGATTACTACGTATTCATAGTTGTCGTGCGATGCAACTGACGCTGTGTTTGTGCACACCGCACTCTGTTATGTGTAATGATTTATGCCATTATATATTGCCCTGTGTCATTCAGTGCAAATGGCTATCCTGATTACTACGCAGTGCGTATTCATAGTTGTCGTGCGATGCAACTAACGCTGTGTTTGTGCACACTACACACTGATATGTGTTATGATCTATGCCGTCATATTTTGCCCTATACTTCAGTGCAAATGGCTATTCTGATCACTACGTATTCACAATTGTTGTACGATGCAACTGACGCTGTGTACACACAACGCACTGATATGTGTAACTATTACGCCGCTATATATTGCCCTGTATCCTTCAGTGCAACTGGCTACTCTTTTACTGTGTAGTCACAGTTGTTGCGCGATGCCACAGACGCTGTGTTATGTACATTGATATGTGTCTATGATTTATGCCGTTATATGTTGCCTTGTATCCTCAGTGCAGCCGGCTATTCCGATTAACTACGTATTTACAGTCGATGTCGCTATGCCTCTGACGCTGTGTTTTTTGTACACAAAAATGTAACTATGCTTGTGCATAGTCTCAGTCGTCGCTACGGCGACTTGCATTGCATCTGTGTAGATATTGAAGCGTTATGCTGCCCTTCAATGTAATGGACCATTGTGTACGCATATTCATGCAGTTTCGGTCGCTTCAGTAACTTGAGCTGCATTATACACACAGATGTTTAAAATGTGCACACTGATGTGTTATGCTGTTATGTTGCCCTCTATCATTCAGTGCAACAACCAGCTATCCTATCTAACTGCTTCAGTTTGTCGCTACAGCGACTACACTGCACTTATGTACGTATAAGGACGCGTGTTGCTATTTTGTTGCTCTGTTTCTTTCAGTGCAAAACTAGCTATCTTAATCTACTGTGCATACTCACAGTTTCTGAATGTATGTACGTACACGGATGTGCAATTACCATGTGTTATGCTGTAATGCTGCCCCGTTTCCGTGCAGCTAGCCATCCTGATCGAACTGTACATCTCAGTTTCTGTCTCTACGCAGTTCTGTCGCTACGGCGACTTATGCTGCGTTATGTACATGCATGGATGCGCTACAGCGACCGATGCTGTTACGTACATGTGCTATGCTGTTATGTTGCCCCGTTTCCTTCAGTACAACTGGCTATTCGGTGCTAACTCGTCTACTCACAGTTGTAGCTACGGCTATGTGTTTGTTGTTTACTGAGGTGCTATGCTATTATGGGGCTATTATCTACTGCGTATATTCATCAGAGCCCAGGTGGTTGCAATTCCAGCATTTTGCCCGGATGAGGTTAGTGTTTCAGAGTCTCAGAAGTACGCTTGTGCCCCATGCGTGCCCTGCGTGCTTATGTGAACAGAACTAGCCAGTTTCGAACTTCAGAGCAGCTCTTCGTCTGCTACGCGGGTGCTAAGAGGCGGCGCGCTGTCGAAACGGAGGCTATCTCACTGGATAGTGGAGACTGTGCACTGGCTGGCTTATGCTTCACGGGAAGCCGTTTCCCTATAGGGGTGCACGCCCACTCCACTAGGAGTTTGGCGTCATCATGGGCGTGGGCGAAAGGCATGTCTATTCAATACATTTGTTTCGCGGCAGGTTGGTCGTCTCGGAATACCTTCGCGAGATTCTATAACTTGAATATCCCTTCATTCGCACCACATGTCTGTCAGTGCAGGGAGAGAAAGCTGAGCTGTCGTTGGACTAGGCTAGACTGCCCCGATGGCGCGCGCTCTAGCCACGGTTCGACTAGTCGTCAGACAGTGCGAGTTATTATTAGCATAGCTATCATGTTCACTATATTGTGCCCTTTGTTATGTCCGCATTCATAGCCGGCAGTATTTTCCTAAGCACCAATCACTTGCTGCAATCTCCCTCCATTCAGTTCAGCGTGCTTAGCTTGATGGGAGGGGCCTTCGTTGGTGCAGATGCCGAGTTGGCTCTGTGCCAATAGATGTTTCAACCAGGTCCGGTGTCTGTTCCTGAGAGCTGGGCGGGGTTTCTCCCACGCGGCGGGGGTTTTATTGTTCCCCATATGTAATGTCGAGAGACCGACTCGATAAGGGAACGTCTCTGGTTACTCACGTAACCGTGGTTCCCTGAGAGGAGGGAACGAGACATTACGTAACCTGCCGTGTGGGAGGGACTCTCAGTCTCCTTACTCTCGTTCAGCTAAGATTCTGAGGTTTTTGGCGCCCGCTGTCACCTATATTGAGCAGTGTCAGCCAATCAGGTGATGGCGGGACCGCCATTGGCTATTTGCAAGCAAAAGAGTTATTCTATCAGACTTCATGATTCGAGGAAAATGGATTTCCCCATACGTAATGTCTCGTTCCCTCCTCTCAGGGAACCACGGTTACGTGAGTAACCAGAGACGTTAGTAAACGCATTGACGGTTCAATCGGACTAAAAAGCCTTCATGTAAACACCTTAATCGATCCGATTGAGCTCGATCCGAATAAAATTTCAATTCGATTGAAAGGGGTGGTTTATTCCTTTTCTAATCCAACTGGGAGGACATAAACGCTTGATCGGATTGAAAACCGAAACTAAAGGACTGCGCATAGCATACTGATGTATGACGCGCTGAACGAGCTGTTCTTCCTTTTGAGTAAAGTGTCGTATAAATGAGCGTACCATCATTCTAAAATTCTCCTTTCACTCAGCGTCTGTGAAGTGGAGCAGGACAACATCCCACCAGTCCTTGTTTCAGACTCTCATTCACAGACTGGTTTTGGGTGCTGGGCATTTTTACTGCGTGATAAATAAGCAGCACGGGCACGGCACAACGGTTCATATGCTCATTGTCTCCAAATTATGACCAGCAATGGATAAATATTAAGTCTGCTGTTTAAAACAAATAAAGAACCAATGTAAGAGAATAGTTAGTATGCGCAAACAGCGGGAAACTCTGTATTCGTGCAGTGTGCGCATGTCAAAAACATATAATTCGATTTGAATCTTGTGACATATAAACGCGCACATTAACCCCAGCACGTTTAGCGTTCATGTAAACACTACATTCAGATTCATCAATCGGAATTAATTCAGTCCGATTGAAACAAAAGTTGTGCATGTAAACGTAGCCGATCCTCCGACGAATCATAGGCTATTTTCATTGCTTGGATTCAAACCAGAAATGAATATCCACAACTTGCAGATTGTGCAACGAAGTTTCTCTTCCCATTTAGCACTACTACCGTAAAACTTCAAGGCTTAACGCGCAGAGAGAGAGAGAGAGAGAGAGAGAGAGAGAGAGCGCCCCGGCCGCGCGCGCGCACTCACGTCTTCAAACAACACGAGCGCTGTCTTGCTCTCTATCCCTCGCGCATATTAATCAAAATCAATTGACACGATAGTAAAAGGTTGGAAGACCGCAGTTTCACGCGGAGCATTTGGAGATTTTTTAGAGATTAGAGACTCTAGGAACAACATCTCAATGAACAACATCTCAACACTAAATTATAAAGGCCTGTCTCATATAGACGCCTGTCTCAAATAGGCCTACAAGCCGGTGCAGTTCGACGATTTGGGAAAATAAAAGCCCGGGCTATTATTTAAAGTTTTATGGTATCTTTGTGAGTCGGGATTTTCAACAGTGTCTGCAACGAAAACAAAAAGCAGGAATAGGCTGACAACAGTTTGTGTGCGACACTACGAGTCACACTTTTACAAATTCCACCAAGTCTGGCCTGATCAGAGCGGCAGTCTCAAGGCTATCACATTAACGTGAGTAAAAAAATCAGTTTGCCTCATAGTCTGCCTAATTATTGAAAATGTTTGTGTGTTTTCGTGATTATCATTAATTATAATAAGCATATAGGCCTGCGTTGTAGCCTATAGATCTAAAGAGGCATTTCAGTGATTCAAGATTTATTTAGTGGGTCATATGACTGGCATACAAAAGAAAAGTGGGTCGCAGTAGGCAAAAGGTTGAGAAACCCTGAACTAGAGAACTAAAGCAGGCAAAACAGGAACAGAAGAAACACAACCAAAACTAAACATAAAGTACATGTAACATTTTACAGGACAGTATTTATTTAAATATGCATAATCAAAGAAGTACATAAATAATCATTTGACATGCTACTACCTAATCAGATTTTGCTTTTGCTCTGTTTTGCAGAAGAGCCCATCTACGCAAATAAAACAGCTTATAATTCAAGGAAATAAAAGGTCACATGTGGGCAGAAGGATGTCAGATAATAAAACCAGATAAAGCCCCCCTAATTTGTAAAGAGGCAAAAACCCATGATGATGTCGCAGTGAATAAACTACCTCTGTTTTTTTTCTTAGAAATAAATGTGAGCGTTGCACTTGCAGTGATGATGCATTTCTGTAGGCCAAACCGGAAGTCACACCACCCTGGTTCCCTCAACAAAAACCTAACATTTTTTGGTTTATGGTTAAGTGATTTTTTTTTTTCTGTTGCTGTTCATATGTGTTAAGTGTAGATGTTGTAGATTTTTGATAGTTCACCGCTAAAATCTTTGTTTACCACTGACAGTGAAATTGTTGTGTAAAATGTCAGAAAACATTTTGTATTTGTATTTGTGGTATCTATTAGCAACATAACAATTTTTTATTATTATTTTACTGTTCTGCGGGACCCACTTTATATTAAGTGCATTTATGTACTAACAACTAAATAAATAAAAAAAACTATAATGGACTTATTGTGTTTTTTACATTGTACTTTTTGATAAAATCTGCATATAAATACATCTGTAATTAATTTCTGTAATTACATCTACAATTACCCTTCCCTTACATCTTAACCCACCCTTACACAAATACCCATACCACTAAACCTGTCCCCAACCTTACCCGTATCCCACATCAATAGCAGCACAAGTGTTTTGCAACAGAAAATGAATTCAATCAGAACATTGTTCCTATTTGTCTAAATGTAAGTATATAGTTAAAGACATATAATATAATGTGTGACAGTTCTGTGGTGCTGCAAGCAGTGTGTGTTTGTGTATATATTTGATTTTTTTTTTTTAAATTCCAGTTGATTCAATGCAAATACTTCATACTGTATGTTGAAAGAAACATGCACACTTGATATTAAGGTTTTCTATCATTGTACAACTGTTTGCAAGAGCAAATGGCTTGTTTGTCAAACTGAAAAGTCTCTAAATCTAGTGACAATGTCAGCTGGTTTCAACAGTGGTCCTGTGGTGATCTAGCAACAGTGGTTAACTGACCTCTTTATAACTATAGATAAAATGTTGTAGTTGTGTGCTCTATTAAATGTGTGCAGATTATTTTGCACCTTTAACCAACAAACTAAACAATGAATAAAACTAACAAAGTGACTAAAGACTAGTTGAGGACTTTCAGATCTGATGAAGGACCTGCTTCTGGACACAACGACAATGCAGTCCTGAAGTGTCAACTAGCCCCTCCCCTGTGAAGGCCTCCCTCCCATATCCCTTACCTTTTCTGTTAAAACGGTGTCGTGTTAGCGGCCCCTAAGTTAATAACTAATGATCGTTGCAACGGAAGCGAATCAATCAAAACTTTAGCTGGAAAATAACTTTATTCTAGAGCTGCTATAAAACCAAAATAATCTCTGTTACTTTAATTTCCTATTATCACTGTAAAGCCGCTTTGGAACAATCCTTTGTTAAAAGCGCTATATAAATGAAGATGACTTGACTTGACTTTCAAAGAAATTTGAATACTGTATGGTGAATGTGATAGATGAGGCCAACAAGTTTGTGACATCTGTGGTGTGTTGTGGTCAAGGCTGCAATTCGGAAATTGGTGCACATGCATCTGTTACTGTAAACATTGATTTTTTTTTTACTGTGGTGTCTTATTATTAAAGAAATCACACTTAAGTGTGTCAATACGGAAAGCATTTGACGGCTAACAAAAATACCAGTACTGTATTTGTTCATTTTTACTTTTCTATTTCTGTTGTATTTTGGTGATTGAGCAGTTTTTATAATTAGAACATTAACAGTGGTGTGGAATCACTTGAGATAGACCAAGGCAAACAGATCATGCAAACTAAAACTGAAATCTCTGGACAAAAAAATAAACGACCACATTTGTAGATTATTTTCTTCCTTTTCCATTCAGATTTGAGTAAAATTGTCAGTCCCATTTTGAACACTAGAGGTCAGACTGAGAACAGTCCTGAGCTGTGAGGTCTTTCAATTTAAATTTAAATTTGTATCAAATTAGGATTATATCCCCTGGTTTCACAGACAAGGTTTAAACCTAGTCCCAGATTAAATGCATTATTGAGCTGTTTTAACTGAAAACAACTTGCATTGACATAATGTTAAAATATGTCACTGCCATTGTTTAGTCTCAAGATGCACACCCGTAGGCCCTAATGTGTTTTTTAAGACACATTTATAAAATCTACTTAAATGTCCTAATTAAACTAAGGCCTTATCTTGGTTTAATCTAAGCCCTGTCTGCAAAATCGAGCCCTTGTGTATTAAACTAAGGCATACATATTAACTTTAAACAATGCTAAAGAAACTACAGTTCAGCCAAAGGTTCCATTGTGCCTGCCTGTCAGGGTTCTGTCACCTTGATTGGTTGCATTCTTGGTTTAGTCGTGACAGCAGCTTCCTGACACTCGTGTATTGTTTGTCTTATCCTTTGTGTGAATGTATGGCTTTGGGTTGTTCTCTGGGCTGTGTGCTCAAATGTCTTATGTTTTGGGTGTTCAGGGCATGGTGAATGGGTTCTGACACTTCAGTCTAGTTTCGGTTCAGTTTCAGTGTCGGGTCCAGACATCCATGTTCCATGTACTACTGTTTTTTTTCTTCTGTTTGAGCACTTGTCTGATGAAAGTTTGTTTGTTGTGCTCTTCTACATGTCGTATGTGTTTGTGTGAACCCATGGCTTCTGTCATGTTTGTTTTCTATGTGCCTTTTGTGGCTTTTTTGTTTGTTTTTGTGTGTCATGTGCCATTCTGTCAGTCTCTAGTCTTGGCCCTGCCACCTTGTTACCTCGTCATTGGTTTATTTGCCCCTCCTGGACTCTCTCATTATCTTCCTCATTGATTCCCCCTGTGTGCTCTGTCTTGTGCTTGATTGTTGTGGATGTTTTCCCTGTACAGGTTTCTGTGGTGTCCTACCTACCTTGCCCTGTTTTCCTTGCCTGTCCAGCCAGGTTCCCGTGCTTTGCTCCAGTCCTGTCACCGCCGACCCTGGAATGTGCCGACCCGACAAGTTAAAGCCACCTAATTTAAAGTGGGACCAAAAATGAAATGTAACATACCAATACATACTCTGTACAGTACATCAATAATGATTATTTTAAGACTTTTCTGAAAATGATTAGTAAAGACATGAATTCTAGCTTTATAAATTACAGCACAAGCTAAAATATAGTTTTATAAATGATGTGGCTGTTTAATTTGAATATGTAGCTTCGTATTTGGACACTGGTGCCATTTTAGTATGTGTGTGCGAGCTGAGATGCCTGTGATGCCTGACAATGCTGTCTAAGAAGGCAGCTCAATGAGCATTGAGACAGAGCCATCACGTGCTTGACGTTGGTACAGTGTGTTAGTATGGGTGGAGAAAAGACCGTTTGCAGTCCAGTTGAATCAGTGTGTTGAAGAGTGTGTTGTGCATGTACAGCTGAGAGCAGAAGGAATCTACACCACATAGAGGTATGTAACAGTCTGACCATCTTAGGTTACTTTCATATCAAACTTAAGCCTCATTTTGTTATCTAAAAGGCACTGTCAGATGATTTTATTTTATTTGAGCATTGATAAATGATCAGTTTATTAAAAATCAAGGTCTAATATTTACTATCCTTACATTTTATTTCATTGTGTAAACATTATTTTGATTCAGATATACAGAAAATGTTTAAAAAACATGTTATTTATAAAAATCAATCTACTCAGCAAATTCTGTCTATACTAAACTAAGCATATATTTATTTATATTTATATAACCCTTGTGGAATCATTTTGACCTCTTAAAACAGATGAAGATTTACGATCATGAATGTTGTTGTTTTAGTGTAGTTATAGATGACACTGCTCAAACACACTTTAATGTGTTTTTCTGAAATATTCATTGACATCAAAACTAAGTCTTTGGTTTAAATATACATTCTTATTTATTTTAGAAATTATAAAGTCGTGAAAACTATAAAATTTCACGTAAACTCATCTTATACTTTTTTTTTTTCCTTCTCAATACAATCCAGATCATCAAGTTAAAAAAAAATGTTGGTAAAGAAATATGTAAGCAAAGTATATGGGTCCCTCTTTTATATTAAGTGTATTTAACATGTACTGTACTAACATTTTAATGATAGTCCACTTTAAACATTCTACTAACTAAAAGTAACTTTTCAACTACATGTCAACTAACTCTCATAGTATTAGTAGAGTGTACTAGACTGTCTGTTAGGTTAGGGTTAGGTGTTACGGTTCGGGTTGGTAAGTTGACTTGTAGTTGCAAAGTTACTTATAGTTAAGAATGTCTAAAGTGGATTATCAAAATAAAGTGTTACCTTATAATGCACATATCAAATCTATAAGTCTATTTTAAATCTTTAAATATTTTTTTCTTTTCTTTTTTTACATCTAATTACATTGTTAATCCTTCCTTTTTACAAATGTATACTTTCACAAATGTTCTTTTTGTCTGGAATGTGAACACAGATGGCAGCCCTTCAGTAAGATGTTGGAAACGACTCTAATCGACAGAAATCACCACCTTCACTTTCATCCCACAAGACCAACCTGGACTGTTAAATGCGCTCTCAATACAAAAGGTACAAAAGACAATTTTTTTTTTTTTTTTTTTTTTTTTTTTTTACAATTATAGCGTATAATTTGGTGCTATAGTTACTGAAATACTTCCTTTCCACTAGGCTAAAATGTTTGTGGTCTCCTTGGCAAGATGTCTACAGATCTGTATGTCTTTGGTAATGGTGTCCAGACTACAAGGTGTGTGATTTGCAGTAGTCTGATTGTTCTGTGTGCAAGTGGTTTATTTGGATTAGTCTCAGTATTGGTGTGTCTCAGGCAGGGTCTCAGCTCCAGCACGTCTGGAGGCCATGGTTGAACAGCCCTTTACTCTGAGCTGTACGCTTGTCAAGGCTAAAGGAGAATCAGTTCATCAGATCCGCTGGCTGGATGTGCAGAACCAGACGTTAATCAATTACCAGCCTGGTCAACAAGACAGCGTGAGCGGTCAACAACATGTGGAGCTAGCGGCCTCTCCACGGGATGCCAGTGCCATCACCATCAAACGTGTCAGCTATAGGGATGAGGGCTGTTACACTTGCATCTTTGAAGTTTATCCAAGAGGCTCAAGGGAAGGACAGACCTGCCTTACTGTTACAGGTGAGTCTTGGGTGAGATATTTAGGGAAAATGCATCTACGCAAGTTCTATTTGACGTGAGCATCATTACAGTGCAACAACACTGAGACTTTAATTGACGGTGGGGATTTTTCATTGTAATGTAAACTCATTTTGCAACTCATTTTGTAAATGTAAACTCATTTTGCAGATTACATTGTTACACCAGTAGGTGGCGACAAGTTTGAATGAGTAAATGATTGAATTATTCACACAACTGATTAGTTGAAAAATGCTGATTTATACAGGAATTGAATCAGATGAATGTGTCATTGAATCATTCACTAAAAACCGATTAGTTAAAAAAACGCAGATTCATTCAGGAACAAAACACACCACTACTGTGTAGTGATTCAATTCCATTCAGTCCAATTCAATTCAAGTTTATATGTATAGTGCTTTTAGCAATACTTTTTGTTTCAAAGCAGAAAATATTGAAGTAATAATATCCATATGGCAGTAATATACAGCTATGTGGTTTAGATAACGTCATGTATTGAGTTAAGCAGACGCTGTGTCTGCTTACACGTTTTTCAGTGTAAAAACATGTTACACTGAAAAACGTATATGATCAATAAGTTATGACAACATGTTTTTAAATTGCTTTAACTCATCAAAATAAGGTAAGCAATTTTCAACTTTTTTTGGTATACAAGATTTAGCTCATTTTTTAAAGTCAGTTTAATGCAATTTAAGTTTAAATAATTTAAACATCCAAGTTGATTGTACTTTTTATAGGCGGCTATTGCAACTTCTGCTCGTAATAAATACAATACAAGATACAGTAAAAAATACAGGATAATTTAACAATATAAGGATAATATTTGATAGTTTTATTATATTGATCCAAAGTTGGCATCATCTTAAGTCTTCGCAGTTGGCTGCATGGATCCAAACTGAAGCTGGCACGAAAACAATTAGCATAGCTTCTGTTCATACTATTTCATCAGGTATAATTGTAGGACAAGTTTATGAGAAGCATTATGCGAATTCTTGGCTAGATGATTCTTTAGTCTAGATTTAAACAGAGAATGGCCCTCATTTATCATTCTTGCGTAGAAACGGGCGTATAAGTTGGCGTAAGATTATGCTTACACTCCTCTCACCGCCTGATTTATGAAGCTGTGCGTACCTTTGAAATCCAGGTGTACGCAATACCTGCCCTTGATAAATCCTGCGGCTGAAAATGATCGTCATTAGAATAACACGCCCCTATATATTCAAGTCTCCGCTTCCCCCACGCCCTGATTTTACGCCGTGGACACACGGAAGACGGCAAAGAAGAGAAACTTCACTGACGTGGAGCCGAAATGACCTATCACAATGCAATATTTTACAGCACGTCTTTTGAATTAGCATTCAATTTCGAATCACGTTACATGTATTGGGGTGTACAATAGTGATGATGATGATGTGATGTGGAGTACCATTCATTCACATTAATAATTGCATGACAATTTGTAATATTCTTATTATTATTAGTATGATTTGTATTATTAATGACGCTTATTGTTATTTAGAAGAAGAATGTCTTTATTATTATTTGTATTATTTAAAAGAAGAAGAATGTATTTTTTATTATTTTGTCGGTCTGACTAATTTTTTGGTCATTGAAAGCCTTTTGTTACCGAACCCAGTCCGTGCGCACCTGCCGGGCCAAACCCTGAAACGTCAGGGTAAAGCGCACAGGCTCGCAACTGAAGGAATACATATGCTTACAAATCAAATGCTTTGGTAAAGTCACACAAATTAAAAATTGAAGTCCATGTTGCACAAAAATAAACACTGAAGTTTATAATTACTATGTTGTTGTTTTTTTGTTTTACAGTGGGTCATAATATATAATATCTTTTAGTTTGTCAGTGCATTTTGTGGTGTTAGGAATTGTTTTTCTGCGCATTTCTGCGTACACCACCTCCTGAGCTGGCGTAGGATTTGAGCGTGCCATACGCCAACATCCATATTGATACATCTCAAAGTCACCGTGGTTTTGGGTGTACGCCAGGTGTACGCTGGAAATTTGGTGTACGCACTTTTGATAAATGAGGGCCACTGTGTCTGATCTCTGAAAATTGTCAGGAAGGCTATTCTAGAGTTCAGGAGACAAATGGGAAAAAGCTTTAGCTCCTTTAGTAGACTTTGATATCCCCTGTACCATCAAAAGCCCACAGTTTTGTGACCTTTCAGAGCGCAATGGATTATAGTGTGATAGAACATCAGTTTAAGACAAAGCAGCTATGGCCACGGGGATATGCAGCAACTGCTAAATGAATGAAAGACAAGTGTCTTTACTACTTTAGTTGTTTTTTTTATATGCTTTGAAACAGTGATAATCAACTCATTTATCTCATTAGTTTCTGTTCTTTGGCTCATATAAAATAACATTGTGGGAACAGTAAAACAGTATGGTTGTGTTTTTGGATGTGACGTTGTGGATTCTGGAGGAGAATGTGAATGTAGATGAGAAACATCTGCTGGTTCAGGCAGAGATCCAGCTGGTCTCATGGATGCTCAGCATCTGCCAATCATTTCTAGGGAGGATGTGTTGACTACTGTCCTTCCCTCACTCCAATATATCATTGATCATGTGGGGGTTGTATTCTGGATGCTTTTGATATATTATTTGTCTCATCTGGGTCTCACAAGATCTCTCACTCCCAAAGTCTACCTCAATTGTTTAATGCAGTTTGTCTGGGGACATATTAGTATTCATATCTATAACAGATTACATGTATATTGTCATGCCATTATTAGTACTATACACTTATTTTGATTGCTTTACAGCAACGGTGATCCCAGAGGGCAATAAGACTGCAGTGGGTGGTAAACAAGCCTCTCTGGTCTGTCGGTATGCCCTGCCAGAGAAAGTCAAGCAGGTGTTGTGGAAGAAGATTGTGAATAAAGCAGAATCCCGTGAAGTTGCATTTTTTGCAAAGCAGAGTGACCCTGTAATAGAAGAAGAGTTTGTGGACCGTGCGAGCTTGAACCCTTCCCTGTCTGACACAGAGCTCACTTTATGGCCGGTCCGAGCTGAAGATGAGGCCTGCTACACCTGTGAGTTCCACACATACCCGGATGGCACAAAGAGTGCCACAAGTTGCCTTACTATTTTTGGTAAGTCCATCAGGGTTTTAGTCCACTGTTACAGTGAAATCTTCATTAGTTGGATAATGCCAATATTTGTCATTAAGATGACAATAAGTTTTAAAAGTTTAATTTTAGGTTGACCTGTCTCAGCGAGCTAACAGTGCTCATCAGTGTCAAGATGGCCATTGAAATCATATAAGGCAGTGTTTACTGTTCAAAACAAAACAGTTGATGGACCCCATTGACTTCCATAGTATTTTATTATAGTATTTTTTGGAAGTCAATGGGGTCTATCAACTGTTTGGTTACCCATATTCTTCAAAGTATCTTCTTTTCTGTTCAGCAGAAGAACGAAACTCATTCAGGTTTCGAACAACTTGAGCGTGAGTAAATGATGACAGAATTTTCATTTTTGGGTGAACTATCCCTTTAACAGCTTTAACCAAATACACACAAGCCTAACATAATTATTATATACATTTTATGTATTATTAATTTTTTTACTTAATATAATACAGTTATTCTGTTCAGAGTGTATTTTTCAACAGTGATATTTGATTTTTAGACTCTGAACTGAGTGAAACACAAATCCACCTCAGTGTATATAGCTGGTTGGGCTGTTGCACAGAGTGGTAGCGAGGGCAGGACAAGGCTAAACACGAAAGCACTAGAGAAAATGATGACAACAGACAGAGAGAGAGAGATATGAAAGAAACTCATTGTTGGAGGGTGAGACTGTGCGATCTATGATTTATTCAGACTGTGTCAGTGAATGACTGTGTCACTGTTCCACTAACAGTGCTTTTCTCTATGTGCTGCTCTTGTTCTCCTGCCCTGTCTCTCTCTGATTGATGTTCACTTATTGCGTTTGCGCTGTACTGTTGCATTTGTTCAAACTAGAGTATGCAACCACCAATGATTACTTAAAGGGACTGTTTACCCCAAAATTAAAATGATGTCAATATTTACTTATAATCTCGTATTGTTCCAAACCTGTATGACTTTATATCTTCAGTTCAGTGGAACAGATGTTTTGATTAATGTTTTTGTTCATACAATGACAGTCAGTGGGACCAAAACAGCAAGACTTTCAATGTATGAAGTAAAAATATTTTGTGTTTTTCAAATCAATATTTTCAAAATATATTTTGTGTTCCTCAGAAGAAAGAAAGTCATATGTGTTCAGAATTACATGAGGGTGAGTAAATGATGACACAATATATCAACTATTAATTTAATTACATTCACTCATCTCTTATTCATACCAATCTTGTATTGTTCTGGTGTCATGGTTTTGTAAGAATGTGAATTGCTTATCCTCTGTTGGAATGACAAGCATATACCTCTTTTTGGGCTATGCTGTGGATTGAATGGGCATCTTTGTAGCTTTGAAATACTGGTGAAACTATGTGGGCTGTAAACACTCAGAGAAGGCATGCAGATCTGTTTTTGTACAAAGCCAACTCTTGGTTTTCAAGCCAACACAAATGGTTATCATTCAGAGTCAATGTATGATTGCGGTTGAGTCCGAAAAGTGATAAATGCTGCATTCGTAGGACGCATTCCAAGATTGGAAGGCATCAAGGCACGTCCGAATGCAATGTTAGTTTCACTTCCGGTTTCCTGAGATACCTTCATCTGATAGATTTTTGAAGGCAGCATAGATGCATCCTTCGCTGCCTTTGATATCCCCAAATCCTGTGCTTTCCATTCTTTGACAGATGAGCTAGAAAAATAAAGATGGCATCGGAAACTTGCGGCTGGTAGTCAGTTTCTGTGTAAATGTACAGTTTTGATCAACGTTTTCCACTTATGATGTCATTTCTAGCGGGAAATGACTATTGTAGACATTAAATATTCACTTAGTTTTCACCAAAGCTCGCTCTATTTTGTTGTAGATCATTAAACTGTTATGCTGCCTCAGAAGTCTGTCCAAAATACTGTCCTACTTGTCCCTGTATATAAAACTGTTTTAAAAAGAGTACGGCCACAGACTAAGAACATCAGCTTGTGGTCTGAGGAGTCTACTGCATCCTTGCAAGGATGTCTGGAGTGTACGGACTGGGATGTTTTTTATGACTCTTGCTCAAATATAGATGATCTTACAGATGTCATTAGTAATTATATCTCCTTTTGTGAAGAGATGCTTATACCCCGCAAGACAGTTAAAATATTCCCAAACAATAAGCCATGGTTCACTAATTCTCTCAAAGCACTTATGAACGAAAGATGTAGAGCATTTCATGAGGGTAATTTGGCCAAAAACTTGAACTGCAGAAGGAAATAAAAATAGAAGCGAGAAAAGCAAAGTTAAATTACAAAATAAATCTTGAGAAAGAGTTGAGTATGAACAATTTGGGGTCTGTCTGGAAGGGGATGATGCTTATAACCGGAACTAAAGGGTGTGAGATCAAGAAAGTTCAATTGCCAGGGTATGACTCTAGTAGTCAGTTGGCAGAGGACTTAAATAAGTTTTATTTATGATTTGATGTCCCTGAATTTGGTCCTGTGACAGAGTCTATGAAATCTAAAACGAGTTATGGTTGTGCCTATAATTTTTTTTGATGAATTGTCTGTGATGAAAGTCTTCAAGGGTTGTAATGTGAGAAAAAGCCCTGGTCCAGATAAAATCGGAGGGCGTTTAATTAAGGTCTGTGCAGAACAATTGGCACCAGTGTTTTGTAATATCTTTCAAAGATCACTTGCCCTCCAGAGAGTTCCGAAACTTTGAAAGGAAGCCACTGTAGTGCCAGTGCCGAAAACTGCACATGCTGTAACATTAAATGACCTAAGGCCAATAGCTTTAACATCCCTCATAATGAAATGCTTTGAGAAATTAGTGAAAGGAGAATTGTTAAGTAAAACTAAGAATCTGTTAGACACTCTTCAGTTTGCATACAGAACTAAGCGAGGTGTTGAAGACGCAACAGCAACTCTACTAAATATGGTATTGCAGCATCTAGAGGGTAGTAAAACACACGCCAAGCTCTTATTTATTGATTTCTCATCCGCTTTAATTCTCTACAACCCCATATTTTAGCAGATAAGTTAATCACTAATTTTGGTCTCGATCTTAACTTGGTAGGTTGGGTCTTAGATTTTTTAACTGAACGAACTCAGAAAGTGAGAGTAAATGGTAGTCTCTCAGCCCCCCTGATAACATCTACATGTTCTCCTCAGGGATGTGTTTTGTCTCCCTTATTGTATATCTTATATACAAATGATTGTATAAGCAAATATAAAAATAGGTATTTCTTAAAATTTGCAGATGACACAGTTATTGAGAGTCTTCTAGAAGACAATGAAATGTGCCATGGTCCAGTGGTTGACGATTTCGTAAAATGGTGTGATGATGCCTGTTTGCAGCTCAATGTATCCAAGACAAAAGACATGAGTATTGACTTTAGAACACAAACACATCCTTCCCAAGACACATTTATTAAGAATAAGAAGGTGGAATACGTGGAAAGCTATAAATATCTGGGGACAATTATTGATAAAAGATTGCGTTTTGATTTGAACACAGAAGCTCTGTGTAAAAAGGGACAGCAGCGCCTTTACTGTCTTAGAAAATTGAGATCATTTTTAGGTGTTCAAGCACGAAGTGCTGAAAACCTATTGTAATTGCTATTTGAAAAAAAAAAAAAACCTAAAACGCATCGTGCAGCCCAAACCGTAAGGCCTAGAGACTTGAAACCTGGCCAGGTGCTAGGGCCTCAGTTTGGGGAGAACCTAGCAGAGTATGACCCCGATTGGCCCATAGGTGGCGCTACAGCAACCAAAAGTACTAAATTGCTCATAACTCCTAGACCGTTTGACTTGGAATCAAGCTTTTTGCACCACTGTGTTCCTTGGCTCAAGACGGACAAGATGTATATGTAAAATTTGTTATGGCCAATTTTGTCCAAAACCTACTTTTGCGAACTAGTCCCTGGTTTTTTGCCTGATCGGAACCAGACCAGTCTAGGACAATTCTCTGGACTCTCTAGATCAATAATTATTGAAAAAAAGTTGAAATTTGCCATTTGGTTTATTATAACAGGATCATTTATAAAAAGGGGCGTGTCAAAACACACTCAAAAGCCTATAAATCATCAATAAAAAGTCAGAACTTCACAAAAATTGATGAGCATATGTGTCATACCATGGTGAAGAAGCATGCAAAGTTTCATGGAGATCGGACAATAGGTGGCGCTATAACTGTTGAAAAGCTTTAAAACCATACATTTCCTATGGTAAATTGCCTGTATTGGCTGTAAATGGTCTTTTCCATCTATGATCGTATAATTTTCATATCTTAATGTTTAAAACCAGTGCAGTACAATTATCTGGACTCTCTAGATCAATAATTATCAGAAAAGGTATAATTACTTCATTTGGATGGCTATAATAGAGTGTAAATCGAATGGCTATAACAGCTATAACAGCTTGGATGGCTATAACAGCCAAAAAGTGGTATTTTACTGCCCCCTGCTGTCATTTCATCATACTACTCTCTAATATTTTTATATATAATTGATATTTAGACTTTATTAAATCATTATTTTAACATTTACAATCACATTTTGTCAAAATTCATCTATTGCTCTGTACTCTCTAGAACAATAATTATAGGAAAATGTATAACTTCTTCATTTGGATGACTATAATAGGGTCACTTCAATATGTAGCCTTGAGCGAAAGCCAATATCTTTGCAATAAATGCTCATAGCTTCTTAAAAAAAGGTCAAGAACAGCTATAACAGCTTGAAAAAGGCTAACAGCCAATAAGTGGTATTTTACTGCCCCCTGCTGTTTAAAAAAAGTCATTTTGTCACACTACTCAACTATAATTAATATTTAGACTTTATAAATTCACTATTTTAACATTTACAATAACATTTAGTCAAAAATCGTCTATTAAAGTGACAATTGAGTCACATTGGCTCCTGAAGTTCCAAATGTCTCTATCTACATCAGAATGAGCGTGTGTAGATTAAATTATATGAAAAACATGGCCTATTGTATAAGTAGGCTGTAATAGCACT